CCACTTCAGGGTATTTCACCTTTGTTGGAGGAAATTTGGTCACATGGAAAAGCAAGAAACAAAAGGTAGTTGCTCTATCAAGTGCAGAAGCAGAATTCAGAGGGATCGCTCGAGGAATTACTGAGGTTCTTTGGCTAAGAAAACTCCTTAAAGATTTGGGGTATCCGCCAAAGGATAAGTGTAGACTAATGTGCGATAATACCGCTGCTATTCGTATATCAGAGAATCCAGTACAACATGATCGTACCAAGCACATCGAGATTGATCATCACTTTATCAAAGAAAAACTCGAGGCAGATATCATCAGTCTTCCATATGTCCGATCTGAAGATCAATTGGCAGACATTCTCACAAAAGCAGTACCAGCTGGAGTCTTTCAAGCAACATTAAGCAAGTTAAACATCCGAAATGGATGATTCAACTTGAGGGGGAGTGTTAGAAATATCAAACAAAAAGGGAATAGTGTAATATCTTGATAATATCCTTGATTGGAATCAAATTACCAATCAGGATATTTGATTAACTTCCACTCACTTTTCTTAATTGTTTTTATTATTAACTTTGTAATATATATAGACATTATTAGAGATGTATTCAATAAGATGAACATTTTTCAGCTCTGAATTGATTCTATATTTCTAATACTTTAGTACATTGGAATTTGGAACTTGTGCCATTGTAGTTTATGTTAAAAAAAATGATGTGAATGAAACAACTTTTATTATTAAAAAGAAATTGAAAGAAATTTTTGAAACGAAGGCAGGAGAAAAAAACTATTTTTAATTTTTCTTATGTATTTTGATTCTCGTACTTTTTTATTTTTTTCAAATTCTTTAAGCAGATAACTATGGTGTGGGAAAATTTTCTAATTTGTTATAATGCATTTTTAGTTTGATTAATTATGTATAAAAATATAAGTGATATAATGATCTAAGATATAAAGACCCCATAATTCTTTTATTGAAAAAATATGTTGAATTTGTTTTTATACAAGTTTTTCTTAAATATTTAAATAGTTATTTGCAATCAAAAGTTTGACAACAAAAGTTATGGGATTCTTATTTTTGTTGTTGTTAATAATAATAATAATAATAATAATAATAATAATAATAATACTCCATATTATTACCTACGAGAAAATTGTAAAAAAACTTTAAAAACTAGAAATTTTGAATTTTAAATTTTATTCTTATTATTATTATTATTATTAAAAAAGTATAATTAATAATGCGTTAATTCTGTAAAAAAATTAAGTCATTATAATATTTGATGACGTTGTTGAATGTGAATAAATAAATTGACTATTTGTGCTTTAGTAGCTTTTTAATTATATCTATTTGATTAGGATATATTGGGGTAGATTTAGCGACAACCAATAAACAACAACAATATTACTAATATTAAGGCATTTTTGGTCTCCCTAAGTGTTTGTCCACATTCATTTTTGCACACCATCCAATTCACTTCTTTAATCTATTTTATCTTGTAATTTGTATATTAAAAAATTATAAAAATTATATATTAATAATCTATATGTTAAGACGAATCAAACAAGATCGCACATGATTATTTTTAGACTTACATATTGAGAGAATTTGATGAGTCAAAGTGCTTAAATGAACAGTTTCAAAAGTCAAAAATGGACAAACACTCAGGGACGGACCAAGTAGTATTTGTTCATTCAAATGATTTAGATTAAGTTTAAAAATAATTATAACAATATTAATAAAGAGAATAATAAAAATTATAAAAATAATAACATAATCATAATAATAAAAATAATAATAACAATAATACTAAAAAGAATGATTACAAGAATAATAATAATAATAATAATAATAATCATAATAGACTAATAGTAATAGTAATTTAACATAATTGTTTCTCAACGTAGTTGTATGATTACCATTAATCTGTCAACGTAACACTCTCTTCTTATGTCATCTGCGTTATATGCCCACCATATATAAATCTTCTTTAACGAGTTATACGGCTGGACATGATTCGAGTTTCAAACTGGTATGGCAACAAAAAAAGCCTTAATATTAGTATTAATACTGTTGTTGTTTATTGGTTGTCGCTAAATCTACCCTAATTTTGATACTATTTCCGTCCAAAATATTTATCAACTTTCATTTTTACGCACCATCCAATACACTTCTTTAATCCATTTTATCTTGTAATTTGTATATTAAAAAATTATAGAAATTATATATTAATAATATATATGTTAAGACAAATCAAACAAGATCACACATGACTATATTTAGGCTTACAAATTGAGAGAATTTGATAAGTCAAAGTGCTTAGATGAACAGTTCCAAAAGTCAAAATTGGACAAATACTCCGGGACAAAGGGAGTAAATAATATCACCATCTCCAGTGTATTTATCCAGTTTAATTTTTTCGAGTTAAAATAGGCAAACTTTAGATCTCAATTAAACTAAAATAGTACGGAGTACTATATTTCAGTACTATAAAAATTATTTCAATTGATTTATCTTATTGAAAACTATTAAATAGTTAAATTATTGTATCAATATGCAATAGAAA